GCGTCCCGATTTTTCACTTCTGTCATCTGGTCACCCTAGCAGACACTGAGCAATGTGTCTGCACACAGAATTCAGGAGTCCTGAGCAAAGTTCCAGTCCAGTGGTGAGTCTTGGGTGCTCCTGGTCGTCTTCGGCGCCAGTGAACTTTCCCCCAACAAACCCCTCTGGTGCCCTCTTCTGCAGCTCTCTGCAAAGCCACACAGAGCAACCACCTCCCCACTTAACTAGCTAGCAACCTCCCTCCTTGTTCCCCATGCAGAGTCAGAAGCCCCAGTACTCACAGCCCCATGCAGCTGTAGGCAGCAGTGATACTGGGTCCAGCTCCGGCCTGTCCTTCTCAGCAATTCCTCCCTGGCCCAGTGCTCCTCCTGTCCTGGGGTGTCCCTGATCGGCCCTGTCCGTCTCAGGCCTCGGGCAGGTTCTCTGCTGCTTCACTTTTCCAGGGCCTGCAGGCTGCCTCTCCCTCTCCCTGGAGCTCCAGCGCTGCCCCCTGGAGTTTCCCTCCTTTTTTATTACTCTCCCCCTCCCCCTTAGGAAAAAGATTTAAAGGGCCATGCTCTCTAAACCCCAAAGGGGTTACATGTAATTATGTGGACTTGAATAAAAACTCTCCTTATGGGAACCTGATTCTGTTGTGGAAAATGGAAGTGAAGTTGCAAGTGTAGGTGACAACTTAAACCCCCCTTTCTAAGAAAAGTATATAAAATTACAAAAGTAATAGTAATCCTTACTGACACTTTTATAGTCATCTAATTCTTTCTACTAGATTGCTTGCACTATACTGCAGCAAAGTATTAAGCATTTCTGCATAATCTGCATTACAGTGTCCTATGTTAATGCACACTGATACGTCAAAACAGGGCAACACATGAATAGTCCTCCTGGTATAACTCTTGGGCCTAACAATGGTTCACTTATTAGTAGCTAAGCATAGACATAGAGCATTGTTTTTTTTTTTAAAAAGTTCTAACCTTTGTTCTACATTTTAGCACAATGACTCCTTTAAGAACTAGTTTATTTACTAATCTGTTTTGAAAACTTGCATGTATTGTAGGTGTATTAACAGCATTCTAAATGCTGACTCTTAGTGATTTGAAATATAGGGCTAAGAAAATAAAAATATATACTTTGTTTCCATAAAAAAAAAACCCTTCTCTTTTTTAGACATGAATAAAGGCTGGCAGATTTTCTTCACTGGACAGAGAGGAGATTTAAAGTAACTTGTTTCATACTCATACTATATTTTGATTTTTTTTTAAAAAAAAGCACAAGTTGGAAATCAAATTAATTATCTTGAAGTGGAATCTTGCTAAACCATCACAGAAGTGTTTGTCACTGATTCAACTGGATTGAACATATTTTAGAACTGCAGGCCTGGTGATCAGCTATGGACAACAGCTTGGAGCTGAAAACATCCCATCAACTGTAGAGAAGATAGGTGTGATTTTAATATTGGACTTGAAGTGGCTTAACAACGAACACACCTTAAAGTAGTGGACTCACTGCAGCCTCATTTTTGCTATTTCTGAAAGTGTCTTATTACATGCTTCATTTTCTAACTCCTGTCTTGAGAGCTACTGGTTACATTTTTGTTTACATAAATGACTCGTTTTATTAAAATACTCTGGCTGTCAAGGTCCTCACTTCTTCAAATTGAAACTTGCAATGGAGTTTTTACACAGCAGTGGGAATGCTTTATAGCTATGGAGATTACTGACCCTAGCAGTTGTCTTCAGCATGTTTTCTTCTGTCCTTAGGATATTCTCTCTGATGGTAATGCACTATGAAGGAATATTTACTTATCAGGTGTGCAGTGGTGATTGTATCTATATACAATAACATCCAGCACCAACCCCATTCTTCCAACTTGTAAAGCCATGAAAAGTAATTCATATTCATCCATGCATAAATTGCATGAAAGTTGGCCAGTTTGGTCGAGGGATGGATATATTAGCTAAACTTGTTCTAAGCATCACAGCCCTAAGAAGGGTAGGAAAACCAAAGATGATAGTCTGTCAATTTCACTGATATTACATTTCCTAAAGAATCATATGAACCATCTTTATATGTTTTAAGTATGTAAAACTTTGATCAATTTAAAACATTGCCTTTAATATCTCACTCATGATGGATGATTTTCTATGGATGTTTCCCTCCTGTTCTCCTCTGATAACCTTCACAGGTGGGTAGATCTTTACTGCAGTAATTGGAAGCAGCAGAACTGTAAGTCAAAGAAGCAGTACCTGAGGGGACCTACACATCAACTGACAGCCTCAAATTATTTTGCCTCCAAATAGTCTGATTATGACACCTATGAGTTGCTTGGGCTCTTTTAGTAGAGAACCATTATTTCACTTTCTCGGTGTTTTTTCAAGTCTGCTCTCTCTCTTCTGCTGAGTTGGTCTCTCCCCTCACAGTGCTAAGTGTCCTCCTCTGCCACAAGAGCCAGTGCTGTGTTTGGTTTACAAAATGGCTGATGAGCCCACTTGTATGTGAAGTGCAAAGTCTCCCACAGCATGACACACAATAAGCTTGATGTATCCATTAAAAAACAAACAGCTGAAATTGAGCACATTTAATTTTATAGTGAATGCTTAGAAGCTTACAATATAGATTTACAGGTAGATGTTTAGATTAAAGAACTATGAGTTAAGTGTATTTCTGACCAAATTCCCATAAGTAGCCTGTCTGCCTTCTTTGATTAAGTGAAAGCGTGTCTTGCATCTAAGTCATTGTTTCTTAAACTAGACTTCTCTACTTTTTTTAAAATCTCCCTCCTTTGCTTTCATTGCTCAGCTTGCAAGAGCTCAATGAGAAATTGTTTTTCATCACATCAGTATAACCTGCAACTACAAAAGCATCAACTAGTTCATTGGTGTAAGTTCTAACAATTAATACTGTAGATCAGTTAAAGATTAGGAACTCAGCCAATTGTACAGTAAATTATCTATTTTCAGAAGACACATTTATCCTTTGTTTTGAATCATTCCATAGTAACACTGCTCTAGAGCCAAATCCTGCTCTAATTAAAGTGAATGACAACATTCAGATCAAGATTTTGGCCTGTAGAAAGTTGAATTACATTCAGTACAGTGATTTCATAATATAGGTACATCACAGTATGTGTGGGATACAGCATTAAGATCTACATAAAGCTGCAATTTTATTGCTGTTGTGAGTTTGTATTTTAGTCATCCTTTTCCTTTTTAGAAAATGGATTCTTCTTTGTCCACATAATTAGTCCAGTAGGTAACTGTTGACTTAGCTTCCTAAAATTAAAAAAAAAAAGATTATATATGTATACATTTAACTCTACTGAGGCACTGTACTACATACATCTATTAGTCTGAATAATCAATATTTGTGGTTGTAACAGCTAGTCATAGCATGCTGTAATACTTTGTTATAAATAAATGTTATAAAATATCTATTTCTCTGTTGTGTCACCTTGTCTCATGGGAGTAGTAGTTTGGATTCCCATTTTCCCCCTAATAGGCTGAGCTTTCTTGCCAGAGTACATCTCCCAGTATACAATGTGGTCACCCCTCTGGCCAAATTGTGTGCCTTGAGAGTCACATCAGTTGCATCATGGGTGATCCAGTCTGGCCAGGGAGAACGTGGAGATCAGACTCCCAAACTACAACTCCCATGAAGCAATGCAACACACTAAGGAAATGGAAATCATTACTGAACTGACTCTAAATGAACCTTTTTTGGGGGTTCAGTTCAACTAACCAAAATGAAACTTTTGGTTTGGGAATGTTGAAATGTTACATTTTAATCCAAAATGAGAAACTCTTTTGCCATTTCTAAACTGATTTTCTTTGGAATTTCCATTTTGCAAAAGAACTGATATTTCAATTTTTTTGTCCCAGTTTGGGATAAAAATGGTAAATTATTGGAATTTCTCACAGGACAAAAATTCTGAATTTTTGCTCAGCTCTACTTTTGATGCTGCCAAGTAGACCTATATTAGTGGCCTATATATGAGCAAAGGGATTTTTTAAAATGGGAGATTGTCAAAGCTAAAGCGGTAGGATTCACTTTAAAGTGGAAAATGCCCATAAAAGCCCATCCTCTCATTCTAATGTTTGGCAGAGATGTTTGTAAATTTAAGGTCAGAGTCCTGCAGTCTTTACTCTCAACTCCTACTGAAGTCAGTTGCAGGGGAGGAGAGATTCCCTTTGTAAAAACTAGGCCCAATGTGACTATAGTAGGGGGGATTGCCTTGCGATTTGCACATAAAACAAGATGAACAATCCCTCTTTCACAGTTTAAAGATTGGTTTTAGTCTCCAAATTTGCCATGATAGTTTTTCACAGGAGAATTTAATTTTCCATTTAATTTTTTGGGACAAGCATTAATAACTTTTACATGGAACTTATTAAAATAGTCCCTCTTCAAACTCTTTCACTGTTTTCCTCATATTTCTGTGGTGGTTCTCCAACTTAAAAAAAAAGTTCAGGTTTCTTATTTCACACAGCAACTCAGCTTTATGCTGACATATTTACAGGAATGTGAAATATTAAAGTTATTGCGGTAATTTGTCACAGCCAAATGGTTTTGCCAAAGAAAACTGCTGGACACTGACCATATGTCATTCTCCACACTGTTATCGAGCTGGAGATGTATGAAAAAGTGTTTTGTATGGTGAGACGGAAGTGTGGAGGAGACATGAATGTTGGGGAGATAAACAGCCACATTATGGGAAGGAGGAAATACAGGAGAAGTAGAAGGTAGGTGAGCACTAATACTTTTCTGTCCTCTCCCCTTAATAAACAGCCCAACATGGGGCAACACTGCTCTGAACCACTATCTGGGTGCTGCAGTCTGGTGCCTTGGCCAGCTGGCTTGTGAGAGAGTAACCAATAACCTTTTAGGCTTTCCACCAGGAGAACATCTATAGCTCTTCTCTGGCTCAGAGTGGTGTAATTCTCCAGCGATCTGCAACAGGTCCATCCAGTGGAGAGGGTAGGGAAGTGCTAGTAGTACTCCCTTGCTGCTTTCTGCCTGACATGGCTGTAATCTCCCCATGTTTCCTAACATCTTTTCTCCCTCTTCCCCAGCAGGCCCACTCCCTGCCTCATGCTCCATATGTCCTGCCTTGCCTTGCTCACCCCTACATCTTCCTTCTGATGCCTTGATAAACCCACCCCTCATTGCCCCAATATAGTCCCACTCACCCTGAAGGCTACTGGCCAGCAAAAGGATTGGTAGCAAGGGTCGTGCTCTAATGAACCTCTTAAAGGTGGAGAAGCTCTCCTGGTGGTGAACCCCAGGAAATTTGCCAAACCCAGACTGTCTTTGTTGTGGCATGGTATGCTGAGCTTGTCAGCATAAGTGGCTACAAGTTCAATCCTCCCCTCTGCCTGACTTCCCACCATTTCAAAGGATAAAGCAGTGGATGAATGATGCTCCTGTACAGCAGTTCAAGTGAAAAGAAGGATCCCCCCAAATGTGTGAGTTTCTACACTTATTTGTTGGTCACTTGGCCAAATTTCTGTCCTTCACTCTGACTTCACAGCTTCCACTGATCTCAAGGGGAGCCCCCTGTGTGCACTGGAGGGTAGAATTTGATGCTATAATAGCTCTGTTCTCGGAGTACTACAAGGAACTTTTAATCTATAGGGTAAAAGTGTATGACAGCTCCTTCAGGCTGCACAGCACTGACCTGATGGGGAACAAAAGAGTAAATAAAAATACATGCCACAACTGGATTGTTCAGAACCACATCTTCCATGGTAAGAGGCACAGTGATCATTTCATGTGGGGCAAAGGTGCTGTTATTGTATTTCTGATCCTCCAAACTGTAAGACACATTCAAAACATCTTTAGAAAAGCTTACTAGAAATAGCCAATCGAAATAATTCCGCAGTGTATTTATTTGTATTATAGTGCTATGGTAGCAACATCATAACTATGGTTGAGATAGATTTTCTGTTCTAAAATTCCTATTTTTGCTTTTCATTTTCTCCTTTTGGGTAGAGAATATCCAATCTTTTCCCTCACACTCTCTCTCAACTTTTGGGTACATTTTAACTCCAGAATAGATAACATGGATTTTATTTGCACATGATATTTCTTACCAGTCAACTATTCTCAACAAGCACTCCTACAGTCAGATAAACTCGAAATCAGCTTGATTTAAAAATTTCCAACTTGGCATGCATGGCACATGGTCCTGGATGAGGAGTATGTGCTTTGCTTGAAGAGATCTAGTTTCAATAGAACAAAATTATGGACATTTTAAAACATATCCTGAGTTTGCACAGCAGGTTTAATGTTAACTTCAGAAGCAAGCACCAAGGTGTGATGCTCTGAATATTCACCAGTGAGGATATTTGAAAGCTCACACCTACATGTATTTTAATGTGTGATTGCTCTTAAGAGCTGCAATGTTTCAAGTACAATTTACAAAAGGAAGATGGGAATGGGGCCCTTATTATAGATCATATAACAAGTTTCTATTTCCAGTCTAAATTAAGGAGCATAGGCATAATGCACTGATTCAGGCAAATCATTTAGACCGAGCATACTCACATTTCAACAGCTCCTTTATTTTCATGTTGTTTCTCCTTTGAATTGTTTTTCATTTCTTTAAAAACTATGCGTGTTTTGGAGAAGCCCCTGTGACACTGCTTATGCTGTTTCCTGTCTAGCAAAATGGGAAATGTGCTTTCCTCTATCCCTCTTTCAGTGGCGCTATTTCCAGATTGTTTATGATGACTTGGAAACAAGTATTCCATCTTGGGATAACAGAAGCACAAATATAGGTTATACAAAGCAGCCCTGCATTTTCAAAGCAGAACATTGCAAACTGTTCTTATAAAAAAAACAACCCAAATGATATTGGAAACAAGGCACCTGGCAACATAGTATGTTCAATTCAACCTCAAACTTGTGATTCATATTTGTTAGTTACTAGAACTATATGATCCTCTTCAGACCAATACCAGTTTTAGACTCTAAAGGAAAAGCTCTCCCAGCTCTTCTGTGACAGAATGCTACTTCAGCTGGCATCATGCCAGTAGGGTCATACTCAGACCTGATATCCAGTTGAAGTGCCTATAAAATCCAGACCATGATATAGCTCAGTGAACCATGCAAGAGACACCTTTGAAAGAAAAGTTAATGAAATTTCTTTTTCAATCCAGCATCATAAATACCTGAAATCAGTGTAATATTAGGGACTGTTATCCAGTGTCAGATACAGCCTTCGTGGACCGTGCTGCTTTTTGGTATTTTCAATAAACAGGCATCTCCAGTCATTTAGAACAGAAGAGAAACGTATGTATTCCTTATTTCCTTTTAATTTGAAATAATGTTTCTTATTTATGCTAATAATCTGTCACACATCAAATGGGAATTCAAGAGATTATTTTTAGCAGAATTAGATTGGTTTAGTCCTTCAAATTCTCCTGTCAATTTTCATATATTTCTATAGCTTTTATTATTAGAAAAAAAATCTAGTGCCTCCTTTTTATGGCATTTTACAAATATAGGGGCTACTGCTGAGTCCATTGAGTCAATGGGAATTTTACTTTTTACTTCAATGGAACCAGGACTAGACCCAGAGGGAAAAAAAAAATGTTTCTCTGCCTTGAAGAGCTTTTGCAGTATTTTAGCCATAACACATAACTACAATGTTACTGTTTGAATTATTCATAGCAATAAGACCACCAAACCAGTTTCATGGGTGGGAGGGAGAGTTTTGATTAGCTCCTTGTGGAACCAGACATCTTTAGAATGTAGACCCCTCCTCCCTCTGGTTGCTCCGATGCCCACTGGCCAGCTAGAAGGAGACAGGAGCCAATTATCTCCTTGCGCCCCACAATCACTAATTTAAACCTGTGTCCAGGGTTTCTTGAGCCTGGTGCCCCATTTTTGCTGAACTCACCCTCCCTCTCCACAGTTATATAGGACCGGTGTTTTTAGGATGTCGTGGCTGACCAATCACCTGGGTCAGGAAGGAATTTTTCCCATCAGGGCCAAATTGTAGGTGAGCGTGTGAGTTTTTTTTGCCTTCCTCATAGCCTCACAGAGACACAGTTAGGTTAAATAGGAATAGGACTTAACATTAGGAATTGTATGACTACTTAGTCCATTGCAACTTGTAGCTGGTGTCCAGTGCAGATAAAAGGCCAAAAGGGCCAGTACCCAGAAATAAGTGGGAATTTCACTGATGGACCTCAGGCCTATGTGAGTCTTCACACAGCCAGGTCCCTCTTTGATACTTGTATCCTCTTCACAGGGAGGAGAGTGAGAGGATTCAGCAGAGCAGGCTGAATCCTATGGGTAGGCAGTGCAGAGTCTAGCCTGTGATATGGGCTACATGATAGGAGCACTGTAAACCCCACATTGGATCCTCTTCTAAGCCTGGCACAGGAAGACAGGGCAGTAACACTGGGGAGGGGTGCTAGGTTTAGTAAAGTTGTGGCCTACTGCTTAAAATCCATCTCAATGTCTGTCCTCAGTCACCTGCATGTCCTGATCGATTCATCCAATGAATTCTAACATATGTATTGAAATAGATTATTCACTTATACATTTTATTATTTGAACAGCTCTATAGATAACTGAATAATAATTTGTATATGATTTATGCTAAACATTTTCCCCATTAATTGCTAAATTATTTACTAGTAAATAACTTTTCTCATTATATTACCAGTTGTAATTTTAGACAGATAGGCAGAGGAAACGGCTTATGGTGAACTAAGATATAGACAAACTCCAGTTATAGTGAAGTAGAATGAAAGTTCCTAACAGTTTCTGTGCCATGCAACGTGCAAACTGCAATTCCCGCTACACTGAGCCTCTGCTAAGAGTAAAGGTTTTCTATTAAAAAAATCAAAAAAAACCACCCCAATTTCACTATAAGTGGGTTTCACTGATGACTCAAGATCTTAATACAAATTGGCAAGTGTAGGAAGGAGATGTTAAGAGAATTTTCACATACAAATCAAACCCAAAACGTTAAGATTGCGGTGTTTAGAGTTAGAACCTAAAACCCATATTTAGGCAATTAAACAAGTGACATGATTTTCAAGGGTGCTCAGCCTCCACAGCTCCACTGAAAAACAGGTCACTTATTTAGCGATTTAAGACCCTAATCCTGCAAACACTGATGCATATTTGCAGTATCAGGGCGTAAATATGGATTTAGGAACCTAATGCTAAAACATCCAGGTCTAGAAAGATTGGTCCTACTTCTCTTTTTAAACACTTAAGAAAACAGCATTAACAGTAGAGTAATCTATGCAAGTAATGACCAAAAGCCCCAGAAAATGTTTTAGTGAAAACCGTCTCTTACACACAATTGTATGCAACAACATGGTTTTTTAATCTGTTCTGTGTAGAAAGTATGCTTCTAAAAGAATATATGCCTAGGGGAAGTCATATAATCTTTATTTTAGAATTTATATTTTACATTTATATTTTTCTACATCACTGCTCACATTCTCTTATGTTAGGTCCCACTTACATGGTGGGGACACAGGTCATGTTCTACGTCTTTTTAAAGTTGTATAACTAAACTTGGAAGGTTGAGATTTTTGTCAGTAAACATAATTTTTACCATACACAGTCCCAAACACAAGAAAAAATATTTCCATCAATAATAATCAAAATGTACAGATGGGCAAAGTAAGTTTTTAAGCAGAATTTTTCTTATGAGTTTGATTTAAGAATATTTACTCTGTATATTTTGACATGTGATGTTGACAATTTGTGTTTTACTAGTTATAAAAGCTTTAACTTTTTGAATCTCAATGTCTAGTGTCATTAAATAACCACTGTCTGACCGCCCTCATTGTCTGGCCCCTGTGTAATTTCCTGCAACTGTGAAAACTTAAAAACAATAAAAATCTAAAAAGGCTTAAAAATAAATATTGATATCTGTCAAAATTATAAACAAATAAAAATCAAATTCTGCCAAGCCTAGGTATAACCAAGTCCTCTGATAATGCCTTACTCCACTCCCCTGCTTTTAGCTAACATGTAATACTGCAGAAGGAGATTGAAAACAGGGGAGGAGAAAAATTGTGGCTCCACTAAAGTTGATGGGAATTTTACCATTGACTTTAATGAAGTCAAGATTTCACCTGGGGTTTAGTTCTAAGATTATTTTAGCTGTTACGTAAGTAGGAAGCTAATAGGGCTGGACTGATTCAGGTATAATACACACAGGAATTGTGCAAACTTCCGTACATAGTTCTATCAACGACCCTCTGGCCTGAACCCTATATTTCAATCCTGGGCCTCTACAGAGACTATCAAATGTAACAAATTGTGTGGTGGTTTTGTAAGGTGAAAGGCCAGTGCCCAAATCCACATACCTACCACTGATCTATCTGATATGCAGTCTGGACTGTGAAGAATACTGTAAAGCTTTAAAATACTGTAAAGCTAGGCTTGTAGCATTTGTAGCGACAGTCAAGAAAAGCACTTTAGCTATTACTTTGCCTTGGTGAACTATTCATTAAAAAGCAGAAGGAATAGAGGATAGCAATGACCATTTGAGTACTAACCAGATCATGGACACTGTGCTCTTTTTCAGCAACTGCAAACTGGCCATTTTTCTCCAGCAGTCTGTTCCAGGTAGCACCAAACAGAGAAAAGCAAATTTAGAAGAAAGCAGTCAGGATCATCACTCTTTGAATACACAGCAGATGTTATCATAACTAGAGCTGAGCAAATATTTAATTTTTCAGACTGGTGGTCATGCTGAGGGTGGGGGGCCCGCTTTGGTTAATTTCAAATCAAAATTGAATTGTTTTTTCTCACCAAAATGAAAAACTGGAAAAAATAGATTCAGATAGATTTAACTTGAAATGAAACATCATTTTGAAGTGAACCATTTTGACTTTATTAAAAAAAATTCCCTTCTTTTTATTCAGCTCTAACCACATACTGAATATGACCCGAATTAGCAGATAGATTTGGTCACTCCGAAACTACATTTTTTGGCATATTTACCATTCTCTAAATTTTTTTGCCAAGCTCTAATGATAACTCCTAAATGGTGTTCTTAGAGAGTCACCTCTGTAAATTCCCACTTACAGATATGGCATCTGACATTGACTGTGGAACCACCTTGAAAACCTGTGTCTGCTGGGAGGGCGCACACAAGATCTTGTGAGAAGATGACATCATTGCCCTACTTTGAATGAAGGACTGCAACCACCTCAGATCCTTCTCCCTAACTACAGAGTCCTCATGTTATATAGAGCTCTGGGCAGAGGGGAAGGCAGATGGGTAGTGTGAATGCACAGACGTGACTCTTGAAGAACAACAGTTTGCTGGTAAGTATCTTTTCTTTCTTGTTTGAGGCCCTTTGTGCATTCCCACTTATGGGAGATTAGCAAGTAGTGCCCCACCAGGTGGACTTTGGATGAGGAGTTCTTAGACAAATATGAACTGTAGCATTGCTCTCCCAAACTGGTCTTTGACACGCGATGCTAAATCCAGGGAGTAGTGTTGTAATAACTGGGCCTGCACAATTACAGTAAACGTGTTCTTAACTGTAAATACTGTGAAAAAGTTTATTAGCTGTCACAAGAAGCTATAACAACAAATGTTGATGGGAAAATGTGCAAAAGCAAGAGACTGAAATACTCCAAACACAAAGGACAACTGATATAAAACTCAAGGACTGTATTAAAATTATGCCTGGTAAGTGTAAGACCAGAAATTAATGAACCAAATTGGTGCGTTGGAAAGTACCCCTAGTGAGTGAACTAAATAATGAAGGAATGGACTATTCTGCCCATCACTACCTTTTTGGGGTCCTAAAAAAGAGACTGTGGGCTGAAAATTAGCAGAGGCTTCTAGAACGCTGGCTGGCTGGAAAAAGGGGAAGAAATGAGCTCCATCATAGTCCCCCTTGCCATCTCCTGGGACCCTGGACCTTCTTCATCCTAATCCTGAGATGTCCTGACCAGACCAGGCCAAGAGAGAGGGACCCAGATGACATCTCCAGCTGTACTGGCTACATCTGAATCCCGAATACCACCTGGGATGGGAGACTTTATTCTCCACCCCACCCATCCCTAGTATGTCCTTTTCCTTCCCCACCTTACTTCTTTTTTTTCCTATACCTCAACTTTTATCTAATAAGAGTCTGGCTTAGTGGGCCAAGACTTCATATATTGCAATGCTGCTGTGAGCCTGTGACTAGAAAGAGGCAGTTAAATACAATGCCCTAAACAGTCACATGCTGGTACAAGTTTGTCAGGTCTCCGAGGGTATATCTACACTGCAATTAAAAATCTGCAGCTGGCCCATGCCAGCTGACTTGGGCTTGTGGAGCTCGGACTAAGGGACTGTTTAATGGCTGTGTAGACATTTGGGGTCAGGCTGGAACCTGGGCTCTAGGACCCTGCAAGGTGGGGTGAGGGGGTCCTAGAGTTCGGGCCCAAATGTCTACACTGCAATTAAATAGCCCCTTAGCCCAAACCCCGCGAGCCTGAAACAGCTGACATGGGCTAGCCACCGGTGTCTAAGTACAGTGTAGACATACCCAGAATGGCTAATAAGACGATGTGCTGTGCCTGTGTTTTTCCAGCAGTGAGGTTACAAATGAGAGTTGACATCAGAGACAAAAGCTGCATTTTCTATCTTTGCTGTTCTTTTCTTTCCTCTTTTGGAAACAGGACTGGACTTTAACAGCAGCAGCAACAATGACAGCTCCAGCCCATCGCAACTAACTTCTTCTCTTTTCTGCAAAAGGAACGTTTTTACCATCTTTGGTATCTTCTAAAAGACAGTTAGACTAAAGGGGTTTTTCTTCTAAAGAACCTCTCCAGCTAAAGGGAAAAGGAAGTGATGTTGTTAAAAGCCTTACTTAATACTTTACATTTCAAATGCTTTAACTGTTTTTCCTTCTTTTTCTCTATCTTTAATCAAAGGTTAAAAAAAATCATGTGTTTGCCATGGTATCAAGGAGGCTAAGGACTCTGTAAACCAAACCTTATTTAAAACGGTTTAATATTGGACAGTGACTGGGTCGTTAATACCTTTAACTCTTTGGGCCCATTTATTCCATCTATATTAATACAACAGTAGTATCTGGTGAAGGTGTGCACTGAACTCCAAGTTGCAGCTTTGCGGATCTCCGCTAGGGGAACCTACGTAAGCCAACACCACTGACAGGTGGCACTCATAGAACAAGTCTTTAAACCAGGAAGTACTGCTTTCCTAGCTAAAATATAGCAATGTTCTATACGTTTCCCACTCCAGAATAAGCATCTCTGTTTGGTAATGGGTTCTCCCTGGCATCTCTCCTGATATGCTACAAATAATCGATGAGACTTTCTAAAGGGCTTGGTCTTTTTCAGGAAAAGGCAAATTACCCTCTTTACATCCAGGGACCTGAACAGTAGAAGCTTAGGCATGGAGGGACTTTAGGCAACTATAGGGTTAGACGGCAGCTGGTTTTGAGGGTCTCAGTAGCATCTAGATGTGTGGGACTTATGCGGCTAAAATGGCAGTTGGGCACTTAAGTCTCCCTTGGAATCCCATCCTTAGTTTACCTGCCTTGGAAAGATGAAGGGCTCAGCCAACCCTCCTAGGATTTGTACCAATGACTCCAAGGAGACTTGGTATTCAAACCTCATGTGTAGACCATTAAGTGACTTATGAACTATATCAGCTAACACAGCTGCATGTTAAGAACAGAAAAATACAGCATATGAAAATGTTCCGACTTAACTTACACAAACATCTTCATACAGTTTATTCATGACATTAACTGACCTCTTGGAAGATGTCATATTAAGAAGGGCGAGATGATACATATGATGCAAGTAAATCAGATGTCGTTCATGGTGGAAATGCTTCCTAGTCCTTTTGCAAGGTTGGCTCTGTAAATAAAAAAAAATAGCATTTAACAACTTATACAAAGTACGAGTTTACTGAGCAGAAGGTTGAAAACTCAAAGCAACTTTTATATTCAGGAAGAATGAAAGACAATGATTACTTTTAGGTTTCTGTACTAACTAACTCTTACTTCCTGAAATATCTGTGCACTTGATTCATTTGAAAAAGTTGAGCTTTGCACTCAGTAGGTCCTATTACCAATACTGAAACAGTCTAATTTATTACAATGACATAACCCCAAAATAACAATACAGAAGTCAATTTACACCTCGTATGTCAGATCAGGATGAGCCCACTAAAGTTTAATTTTTAATTTAGTTTAATTTTTATCAAAGGAAACGTAAGTTTTCATGTAACATACATTTTTAAAACCAATACTTTTAACATTCACAGTCACTTGCAACACACTTCCAGCTGCATTTAGCTTTCCCTAAACTTCTAGTTGTCTAGTGCACTGAAACGGCTTATCTAATAGGCAGTGCCTTCCTTTTATTTTGAGAAAGTCCATTCCTATCACTTTGTGGCTGGTCTGGTTACTCACAAGTCCCCCCACTAGTACGCTTCTCCCAGTTTGTATAGCATACAAATGCTTTCTACATTAATAACTACATCTGAATAACAATTTTTAGTTGTAATCATATTTTATCATTACATGGATCTCTTTTGGCTCATTTTTCTAATTTATTCATAAGTTTGGCCTTCTTTGTAAACTGAACAATTCTCAACACCCAGGGATTGAGTTAGCCGATAACACTTCCATAAATAAAATAAAATAGAGAAGTAGTTCTATTTTTAATACAAATTGTTTGGTTTCTGGAGCTTTGAGCTACTTAAGGGCCCAGTCCAAAGCCCATAAAGTGAACCGGGATCCTTCTACTCTCTACAATGGGCTTTCCATCAGACCCTACAGGCAGGATCAGTTTTTAATCAATGACTGAACTAAGTGGCCCACTATACAGTGCCTTCCACATTCTACCCTCTCTGCAACCCTAATAAAATCAATAGACTTATATGAATGAAATGAAGAGCAGAACTTGTCCCAGTCTATACACTCAATGGACTGCTTAAGTATATTTTAAAAAGTGTTCTCGTTACTTGTACTGTACCCCCATCGTTGCATAGCCCTTGTATGTTTAAAAAAAATGGACAAAAAGTTATTTTGAATATATGCTCAAAACAGCAAATGAAGTTATATGCAACTTATCTACAGGGATAAGTTGTAAATACCAAATGACTAGTGTATGTGTTTTACATTTTATTTAAGAAAAATTGACTTAATATACTATGTTCTCAATCCTCTAATGAGCTCTGCATGGACAGATGCCTGTGCTTCAATAATCTGCCTATGTGGAGCTCATTGGAGGGTCAGAGCCTTTTATTATTTATAATCTCTCTCTCTCTGCTATGCTATGCTATGCCCAACCACCACAGTGGAACCATACATCCATCTAGCTGTTGATTCTAAGTTGCTTGTGACAGGGACTCTCTCTTTACTTGTTCTGTAAAGCATTATGTACATTTATGGTGCAATTTAAATAATCATTTATAAATGTCCATATACTGCAACAACAACGTGTGTTACTTTACATTGATTTCAATGGGACTACTCGTGCATAAAAGTTATACAGTAGAGAGCAAATACATCAATATCCATCTACTGAAATAAATTCCTCCACCCCGAAGGAAAATTATGATGGTAAAAAAAAAGTCACCAAAAAATCCTTCCACATTTTGCTGACTACATTATTTTAACGAAAAGGGTGCTTCTTTGTCACTGACATTTCCTTTCCTTGTCTCATAGTTTTGCCTTTTAAGCCATGTAGACGGATACAGATGTACAGATAGGTGTTTTTATTTTTTTAAAAAAAGCTTTTGTGGTGAGAGAGTCATTGTAACCAAGGTTTCATTGACATGAATGGCAAATAGGCAAGTTTACAGCAGGATTAAGCTAATTGATTAGAAAGCCTGATTGTGTCCCTGACGGGCTGGATATCCTGAAGTGAACTGCATGGACAGAGACACTGGATTTAAAAGAAAGTTAGAAGACAGAGTTGGCCTTGTCATTTTGGGGGTAGGGTAGTTGGGGGAGGAGGCTGGCTTGTGAAATAATTTTTCACTGACCACCTCCCAAGTGTGACAGAATCCCATCCACTTTTGGCACCCCACTATGCACAGGGCCAGCCAGCCTACAGACTTTGGAGAGGGGCAGCAAGATAAATCTTTGGGATACACCCCATATTTAACTGACATTGAAGGACTAGTATGAATGGCCTCAACTCCCACCAGAGTCAATCAAAATATTAAGGGTGCTTAACACCTTCGATTGTCAGGCCCAAAATGTTATATCGTGCCCAACCCATAATTCATAATTTGTATCAATAAACCCCACAGAGCTGCTCATTTGTTTTGAGTCCACATTTAATTTTTCAGGAACAAAAACTATGTCTACAGGGCAGCTCTGAATATCAGAAATGTTAAGTATTGGCGAGTTTCTGACAGAAAGTCAAAACCAGCTCGCCTGGCTTTGTAGTTCTCTAATCAGCCAAGTAAAGGTGACTTGTGAATTTCAGTGGCAGGAAGCAGTTTATAGTACAGTAACCTAGCTCATTGTCTGGGCTTCTTCTGCTCAGCTTCATTACTATTACCATGATAAAGACAAGTGTTTTTTTCTACTTCCCTTTCTTCCCCTTCAAGTCTCTGCTTGCTCTTGACTCTTCTGAATTTCACTTTGATACTTCGACACCTTGGCTCCTCTCCCAGACAGAATAATTACAAGAGCTCAAATAAACTTTTTTCTTTCTTTCTTTCTTTTTTTTGGTGGGGAGGGTGGGTGATGCAGAGATGTTGTGAAGATTTGCTGAAGGAAACTCACCACCTCCTGAGTTCTGGATTGCTCTTCAGGCCTTTTCTGCAATTCAGAAAGCCAAGAAAGCAGCAGCTGTGGGAAATAATTCAACTCTCAGATTTAGCATGAAACAGAGATAACCAAAGTGGGGCCCACCAAATGTGGCCCATAGCTTCACTCATCTTACATCAACAAGACCTCAAGCTTCTGCCTCGAGAAGTTCAGAAGCTGATAGTAATTTAAAGTAGCGGCAGAAAAGCCACAGTCATGTGATCCAAAAGTTGGATAGAATATCCAACTCAGCTGCCTTGTTCAGGTCTCATTCAGCTGAAGAAAACGGACAGCTAAGATTTTAAATAAGCATTGTCTACTGCTGTGACTGCATTTCTGAAACAACTGTTAGCTTGCTCAAATGGTGTGATCCAACATATCTGAGCAAAGCAGTTAAGAGACAGGCTGGGGATTTGAAATATCCAGCTTTAGGGCAAATATCCTGATTCCACCCATGTACATAGGCGGAGTAACTCCATTGACTTCACTGGTGAAACATAGATCAGAATCTGACCTCATGTACAGAAGCCTCTAACCAGTCCTATTTTAATTGAAATTATATAGAACGAAATAATTAGGCCAACTTGTGCCTTTGCGAATAGCCATGCAGGCCCATGCACATAAATAAGGGGAATGGGTGTAAGTAACAGAACAATTTGGCCCACTGGGAGCAGATAGAACATTATTAACATAAGGAAAAAAAAACAAGAAGAGAATTGGTATTAATTTTTCAGTCTAACGGAATTTGTAACCTTCTTGACAGTGGTTAAACCATGACTTGATGGCAGGAAAGTGGGATTCTATTCCTGACTCTACCACTGATTCAGTTTGTGGCCCTGGGCAAGTCCCTTGACTTCTCTAAGCTTCAGTTTCCCCTCCTTTAAAAGGAGGAAAATAACACACATCTCCTGGGTACCAGAAGCTACATTTATTAGTGTGTTTATTAGATTTCCCGATAAAATACATTTATTTTTATCCACTTACAAACATGCTACTACTATAATTTAGCACTTTGTTTCCAAAGCAGTGCAGAAATATTAATGTCTTACTATTCAGTTGCCAATTTAAATAGCAAATCCATAAAGAAATATTAATAAAGGGAAAACCCCCTGTTTTATGGCTCTTTGAAAGGGCCGCATTCCTAAACAAGATAGCAGCACCTACCAGCCAGCTACGACATGGTTCAGTAATGATGCAAAGGCAAAACGCCACCTATGTCATCAACATAATTTCCTAGGGTGCCTGGACATTCTCTGGAAGTCTCCTATGCAAATACAACAGTGCTTAGCTTATGAGATCCAGAGATTCCAAGCTGCTAGGGCTGCAGACGTAAATACACCAGAGAATAATAAATGTATTCTAGCTCACATTATACTAAGGCATATCCCAGATTCAGACATCACTGTTCTCTTCCTGACATCAGAACAATGAACTGTGACTTCATCAGCAATGTCCGCTGCAGCTATTACAACAGTGGTAGAGAGAGAGAACACACACACACACACACACACACACACACACACACACACACACACACACACACACACACACACACACACACACACACACACACACACACACGTACTCCTTTTCTTCAATACAAGGCAAAGGTAGCCAGCTGGTGGAGTAAAGTGAAAGAGCAACATAGCAGTAATTCAATCTTCAATCCATATCCAAATAGAAAACAATACACTGTGGAAATCCTGTGTTCTGGTGACCTCAAATCACCTTGATCCTAAGGACTCTAGAGACTAGCCTCAAGAGAAGCATTTCCTTGTATTTCCCTCTCAACAGCTATATTATTTACTAAGGATACTGCCACTTATTAGAAAATGAGATTACAGAAAATAGATCTTGTTACTTTTTCTTTTTAACCTGTTTTTCACCCTTATATTGCATCTTTTCTAGAGTCTTAGGACCTGATTCTCCTCTTACATTACTGTAACTCTGCAGACGTCAACAGAGTTACTCCTGACTTACAGTGCTGTGAGACTGCAACCAGGCCCTTACGTCTTGACATGTCATCAGGCTAAGACATCATGTTATATTATATGTAATGCACCTAAAACCATTATGACAGAGAAAAATATAGCTTCTTAGTAAAATATGCTACCTTATATTTCTCACTACCTGATCTAAGAAATGTAATACATTGTTCTAACAACACAAGCCCAGGAATTTTAAAGTTAATGTTATTTGTTCAGGGCCTTCCCCCATCCACAAAATTTGCAAGTGTTGCCATTTTTCATTTGAAGAGCTCCCAGAAGTCTTTGTGCCAAACTGTCAACTCACCGATATTCTGTCAGCTTCCTCATCAATTATGTCAGATTTCCAGAGAGAAAGAGAGAGAGAGATGCAGCCCTAAATGAAAGGTTTTAGCACTACACACGATTTCATATTATTTTATCATAGTCCTATCAGGATCCAATTTTTGCCAGCCATTGGCTGGGGAAAAGAAACCCGTTGACACATGTATAGATTCACAGATCCTGAAGGCCATGAATTTAGGAATGCTGGGGGAGTTTTTACCCACCAAGTATCTAGTAAAAATTGGTTCCCGATAGGACTATGATGATAAAATATTATGAATTTGTTTGCAGTACTTGATTTTTAAGGAACAAAATCAACACTCCTATATCTTTTCTCAGGGAGCTGTTTGGCCACAAGGTGTTTGTACACCTTTCAGTTAAATCAAAGGTCCAAAGCAGGGGAAAAATACAACAATAAGGAGCATCAAATGGACTTATGGTACTTCCTTGGAGGAGTCTGAGTTAATAAACCATTGAATGGCTGACAGATAAAGAAAAAATATGTATATGAATTAGTGTAATAGACAATATAGATAATATCCTTCATTTGATAAATAAATGAAGTTTAACCAGAGATTATAAATGTGTGTTAAAATACTCCTTTTTTTCCCTGTTTCTGAACTTCACATGTGAAACATTTACACTAAAAATGATGCTATATGTACTAATTAAGTAAATTATTGTTGAGCTATATATATTTTTTCTTTTCCTTTCAAGCTGTCCTTTTACCTTTTTTAAAAGTTTGTCTCCTGCACTTGTCTTTCATATGGGAACCCACTGAGCCAAATTCTGCTCCAGTTTATACTGGTGAAAATCTGGAATAGTTACACTGACTTCAATGGCCTTACACTAAAGTCTGATAAAACTTAAAACAAACCACATAGGGCAGAAACAAGTTCCATTGTTGCAGTTAAAAAATAAAAAGCAGAGTTGGTTTATTCTTAACTATAACTGTTGAAAGAGGAGTTGTTCTCATCTGTTGAGTATCTACATAAAGAAAGAATAGACATAACATTCTTTTAAATACTTAAGATAGTTATGGGTCTAATCCTGCAGTTCTTAATCAGGCAAAATATCCTTTGGCTTCAGTGGAAGTTTTACCTGAGTGACTAGTGTAGACCCTTGAATACAAAACAATATATTTATTGGTATAAATCACACATCAAGACACTAGTTGTTCTACTTTAAGGGTCTATTTTTAAGGACTGTAACTTCCCAACTAAATTACTCTGGCCTTGATTCAACTCCCATTGAAGTCATTATGTTTTCTTTCCATTAACTTAAATGGGAACTGAATTGGACCCTCTTTTGGTGGAACCTTCTCATGCTTGTTTTCACTCCAGCAGTGATTTTTTTTCTAAACTGGATTAAGAACTCATTCAGGGATTTCTGAAATATTAGAGCATGATATTTTATGTATTTATTTATTTTAAAAAAATCACTAGTTAGGGCATTAGATGCTTTCTTGGGCGGCTCTCACCTCAAATCAGTTTCTCTTTTTTAGAAATGTCAAACCTCCAGTTTGGAATACACCATGAAGATGAATGCCTTTGCCAGATTTATCAAAACAAACTCATCTGAAAATATATTGTGTGTGTCCCTTATTTTTAAGATGTGCCACCCTTCTTGCATATACAAGATGAATAAGCAGATATTTTGAGTTTCCCACCCTGAAAATAAATGGATGATTATTTTAACAAGTACATATTCAAGTAAGCACATGGATCATTTCAAATCAATGTTTGATAGAGTTCAATACAGTTAAAATAAACACACTCAATATGTTTGAGAGTCCCCTCAATCTGAGAGCTCACATTTGAAACAAACACACTCCTACACACAAAGGATCAGATTTTAAGACAGACCATTGACATCAATGTCATTATTCCAATTTACACTGTTGTAATCAAAATTAGACTCTAGCCTCTAAATATACAACCAGTTGAACACAGGTTTTTAAATTTTTTCTTTATCCTTCTGTTAATCATAATTAAATGCAAAATAAAAACAAGACAAAACAAAACCACATACACTCCAAAGGCAGATTTGAATAAATTCAAAATTGTAGTTGCCACAGAAGCTGTAATTTTCCCATGGTATCACCAAAGTATGCTCTCAGTTAAGATAGTGCTAATCTAGAATAGCCACTGGAGCTACCCGGGAAATTCACTCATGTGACTAAGATTAGAATTTGCTGTAAGTTAACACCATATAAAGTAATCCAGAATTCTGCATATGCACAAGGGGGCTGAGTTATTGTTGCTGTGGGAACCGTAACTATGAATTTCCTGGCTTGCATGTGATTCAAATTTCAGCTTTAACGCTGCATTAATGTAGCTTTTCACACTTGACAGGCACACACCATTTTTAGCTCCGAGATTCCCAAATGGAATACATTCTTTCCTTTAATACTCAAAGTTAAAATTTTTTAAAAAGGTTTTAAAAATAAAATATGTGTATACACACACACACTTCACATTTTAACTACAGTACATTGACTAGTTCCAAGCAATTCCCCACCCACCCTTTTTTTGTTTTGTTTTTTTACATTCAAGCTGGTGACCAATATCTCAATGTACCTGAGACAGCTAATTTAAAAAGGAAGTGGTCAAAGTCATGCTTTTTTTGTAAACTTCAAAGGTGATCCCTCTCCTTCCTCCTCTTTACATTTTACTGTCTGGCTTTCTGCCCATCCTGCAGCTGTTAGCTAAGCCTGTGTTTCATGGCGTCAAA